GGGCCGCCTCTCTTCCGGGGTCTGGGATGGGGCGAAGGCCCAAGCATCTTCCCTCATTGGGGCGGAGCCACAGTCGCGGACCGGCCTAAGCCGCCGCAGGTAATGCGGTCCGGGCCTGGGGCGTCGCAGGACCCAGGGTATGACGCGGTTCTCAGCGGGGCAGCAGCATCCATTAGGAGAGTGGGCTCCAGAGCGGGTGGAAAGCGCCGGAGAGGGCCTCCTCGGGCTCTGGCCGGGCCACATTGACAGGAGCCAGCCTGTTCTCTCTGGACCTTTTTTCCTATCTCCCATCGCTGCCACGCGGGGCTGGGACTGGGGAATGGGACTGGCAGGCAGGGCTGCGGCAAGTCTCTGCCTATGCAAAGTTTATCCCAGGGCTTTGGGAACAGCAATCAGTGGCTTTCGCCAACGATTGGATTCATCCATTCATCTCCCAGAAATCTTATCCATTTTCTTTCTTCATCCACTCATCCCTCACTTCTACTCTATGCCAGGCCCATTGGTGGGTTCTCTGAATGAACCTGACGGGCCCAACTCTCTCGGAATTCAGTCTAGAATCTAGTCTATTGACTTTTAAGTAATTACATTCAGGTGATCCCAGCAATGATGGTGGTTTAATAGATGCCTTCAGAGGAAGAAGGAAGTAACTTGACGATCTAAGTGGAAAACAACAAATCAGTGAAGGTTTTACTGAGGAGGGCTTATTTGAGCTGGGCTTTGGAGGTTGACTAGGAGTTTCCTAGTTGACAAGAAAAGAAGGAACGTTTCAAGTAAGGGAAACAGCACAGGATACAGGTTACTAAAGGGCTTGCCATGTTAGAGGAACAGCAAACGTAGCAAGAACAACTCAATATAGCAAGAAGTTGTGGAGGTGAGGTCCTGGAAAGAAGGTTGAGACCAGAAGACACTTAATGTGATGCTGAGGCCAGGACTTATCCTAGAGTTCAGTATTTCTCAGCCTTTTAAAATGTTTTATCTTTCGATAAACATAAACATGACCTCTGAAAATTTATTTTTTTATATACTCTTCCCCACAAAAATAACAGACACACAGGAAACTTTAGCCAAAGTTGTGTTATATTTGCTCCTAAATATAAGTTTATATCAAGGTTGGTAATGCTTATTCACATTAATCAGGTCCTAGAAATCGGTACATTAATAGGAAAGATTTTAAAGAGGGCAGTGACCTGATTTGTTCTGTGTTTTAGAAGATAATCATAAATGTCTAAAAAATACCTTTCTTTCTTGTGCATAGGACACTATGAAGCAGCTCCCCGTCTTGGAGCCTGGAGACAAGCCCAGGAAAGCAACATGGTCTGTAAGGAATGATTCAGACAGAGAAAAACATAAGTTTTTGTTTCATTTATAAGTAGTTTACTAACATATTTAAACATCTATGAAAAAGGGTAGAGATGAAACTGTCTGCAGTTTCTGGTAATTAGACTCAGATTGTTTGAGGTCTTCAGAGGAATGATAGTTGGGCAATAATTATCATAGAGCAGATGTTGATTTTATTAAAATCCATTTACCAGGAAGAGTAAGGCGCTGACCATCTGGCATCCTCAGCTCCAACACTGTCTTTCCCCGCAAGCTGTGACTCATTTTTAAGAATTTCAGGGAATCGGATTTGGATTAAACTGGCTTCACTGTTTCTTGGCTACTTGCTCAACCAGCTTTTCATTCAACAACCAACACTGGCCCGACAGGGGCAGCTGCTGTGTAGGTGCTGAAGGTACAAAGGTGAATAGTCTCAGTGTAGTGGGGGTTACAGACTAAGCAGATGATGGCGATAAAATGTGATCAATGCTGAAGAAGCAGGACCCACACAAGGCTGTAGAGAGGAGGCACTACTTCTGCAGGACCTTGAAGGAGAGTCTCCGATCTGGCTTCCCTGTGTCCATTCTTGCTCACTCTGCAACATAAATCTGGTCATAGCTTTCCCTAGTTTAAAACCCTTTTTTCCTATCCTATTGGTCTAAGAATCAAAACCAGAGTCCTTAAAATGGCCCACTAGGCCCTGCATGGCCTGTCCCTGCCTGTCTTTCCAACCTCAAATCCCCTTACTCCTCCTTTGTTCTCTTTCTCTTCCTTAACATGCCTTGCACTGTCCTCAGAAACTAGATGTATTGATCTCTCTACCTGGATCACTCTTCTTTTGTCCTTCACTTTGCCCAACTAACTTCTACTCATACATCAGACCTCAGTTCAACTGGCGCTTCTTCAAGAAGCCTCTCCCCACTCGCCTCCCCCACCACTCCTTACATGGCGAGATGCCCGTATGATATGTTCTCATGCTAGATACCCTGTACTCCTCTATAGTGCAGTTGAACTGCAACAAATGTTTGTGAAATCATCTGTTAATGTTTCTCTTCTCAACTAATCAGTAAGGGCTATGAAGGCAAGGACTTTTTTTTTGTCTCATTCACCATGTATCTGGATGGCTGTGTGCTTTTGGGTAACTTATTTAACCTTTCTAAGCCTTGGTCCTCAGTCACAAAACTCAGATGATAATAGTACTGTCCTCAAAGGGGTTTTGTGCAGATCAAGTGAAACCAGGGTTGTTGCAAAGTTAGGAACATGTATGGTACATTGTTCAGGTGGCAATAGGATCTGTGAGTCTAGACATTAGAAGAGAGTCTGGAAAAGAAACAGAGATTTGGAAATCACTGATGGACAGTGATATAGATGGACGGTAATTATAGCCATCAGTACAGATTGAAAAAGACCAGGTAAGCAAATGTAGGCTGAGAAGAGAATATAGGGATGCTGAGGGTTAGGAGAAGGCCGGTGGGAAAGGAGTCAGAGAAGGAAACAGAAAAAACAGCCAGAAAGAGGATGGAGAACCAAAAGGGAGCAGTGCAGGGCAGCCAAGTAAAGAGAAAGGTACGAGGAAGGAGAAGTCAGGAGTACCAGATGCCAGAGAGGTCAGATAAGACAGGGCCTGATAAATAGCTATAGAATTTTCTTTTCCAACTAGGAAGCTTGAAGTATGTTTTCTCCTGCAGCATTCAGAATAAGTTTAGAGAGTGAGATGACTGGATCCTGTATTCGACTTTGCAAAGTCCTAGCTTTGGCTTCTTTCAGGTCCAGCTTTATGAATAATCCGGAAGAGCTCTTTGAATCAATAAGTTCTGGAGAATATACGTGACAGGGAAGCATCACTTGCTAGTGGCAAGAGCATTGGGGCTGTAGGTTCCTGTGTGGTTGCAGATAAAGCTCTAGCCACCATGTATTGAATCCTCTCCTGCACTGTTATAAGACTTCATCTTACTCTTCAAGAACCCTTGCTATCCTCATATTACAGTTTTACAAACAGAGAAACGAAGGTTTAGAAAGGTTAAGTGACTTCCTAAAGGTCACACATCTAGAAAGCACCTGAACTTGGACTTGAACTAATTCTATCTGAATTCACAAATGGTGCCAGGACACAGCGCTGAACATTTCTGGGCGTCAGTTTCCCTGTCTACCAGATGGGGACAGTTACTACCCCAGTGCATCCCCATTAGGTTAATGTGAGATGAAAGTAATGACAAAATTGAAAAGTCAAAGATTATGTGCAGATGGAAGGTACTGTTGTTAGTCAGGGAAATACTGCTTTGCTGGATACGATTTAAAGTGTCTATACATATAAGCCCCTTCATTCTGGTGAATATTTCATGAGGAATGGAAAGAACACACTTCTGCATTTATTCTCTGCTCAGGCCTCCTAAATACATCCTTCCTTTGGCAGGTACACCTTGACCCCCGCTGGAGACAGCCCCTGCGCTCGGGTTGGCCACAGCTGCACATATTTACCCCCAGTTGGTGATGCCAAGAGAGGGAAGGTCTTCATTGTTGGAGGAGCAGATCCAAACAGGAGCTTCTCAGATGTGCACACCATGGATCTGGGTAAGACCAGCACGAGCCCCAGGGCCAGAGAGCAGGGCTTCGTGCGACAGTGACCAGAGTATTCCTTAGGAACACCAGTTCAGTTTTCCTCTAAGAAAATGAACATTGTCTATGGCTATGCCACCCTGAACGTGCCCGATTTCGTGCCCGATTCTCAGAAGCTAAGCAGGCCAGGCCTAGTTAGTACTTGGATGGGAGACCACCTAGGAATACCAGCTACTGTAGGCATTTAAAAAAAAAAAGAAAAGAAAACGAACATCCCTGAGAGGTCCCTAAGGTCTCAGCAGAGCCCTGGAACACAGCCACACAGCCAGTACCTTCTTTTTTGGGCGGAAAAAGTCCACATGGAGCCTTGGACATCCAATCATTCACTCATCACATATTCCTCTGAGAGACACCTCCTCTTCCATCCACATACCCAGTTACTCACCAGGTCTTAAATATTTCTCTTTTCATCCATGTCTTTCCATTTCTGCTATTACTACTGTAGTCTAAGAATTGTTCTCTCTCAACTGGATATTACAACCTCCTGTCCAGTCTCCCTGCTTCCAAGTTTACCCCCTGTACAGTGCATTTTTCATACCTAGCCAGAGAGTATTGTCTAATACACAAATCTGGCTATGTCACTCTTCATTTCAAGCATTTCCCAGCTTCATTCTCTGGCTCTCCCGAGCTCAAATTTGCTACACTGAGCATCCTTCAGTTCCTTGATCACATCTTGAACTCTGGTCTCCAAACCTTTGTACATAATTCCTCTGCTTGAAGGCTCTTCACTTTCCTTCTCTGTCTACTCTCCATCTTTCAGGTTTGTGATATTGTGATTTATAAGAAATATATATTGGTCTTTGTCCATGGTTCTTGGCTCACAGCTCCCAAAACCCTTGGACTTTTTTAAGTATTGAGAGTGATAAAGGTGTTCTTTGTTACATTAACGAGGTGACTTTTGGAAAGCACCTAAGGTTGGGAGTTGGTCACCAGGAGAGACCCATCCAGGTGATAAGAGGGTTGGAACTTTCAGTCCTACACACACCTCTGGAGAGGAAAGAGGGGCTGGAAGTCGAATCAATTGCCAGTAGGCAATGATTTAATCAATCATGACTATGTAATGAAGCCTTCATAAAAACCCAAAAGGACAGGGTTCTGAGCACTTCAGGGTCAGTGAACACATGGAGATGTGGGGAGAGCATGTACCTCTGCACCATTCCCACATACCTTGCCCGAGGCATCTCTTCCATTTGGCTATTGCTTGTTCATATCCTTTTAAAATAAATGATGATCAAGTAAATAACATTTCTCTGAATTTTGTGACCTGTTCTAACAAATTAATCAAATCCAAGGCGAGGGGGTAATGGGAACCTCTGATTTATAGCCAGCCAGTCAGAAGTACAGGTGAAAAACCAGATGGGGAAGGGGCTGGCCTGAAAGTTCCAACCCTCTCACCATAGGGTTGGTTCCCGTGGCAACCAGCCTCATCCTTAAGAGACTTTCTAAAAGTTACCTCATTAACATAAACTCAGTAGTGATTGACAGGGCTTGTTACAAAAGACACCTTTATCAGTCTTATCACTTAGGAAGTTCCAAGGGTTTTAGGCTCTGTTCCTGGAATTGATGAAGATCAAATATATATTTCTGTATATAAATCACCATGTCACAACCACCCTCCATATTTTCATAGTATCTTATGCTTTCTTATCCTTATCCTCCTTCACAGCCCTTATCTCATATTGTTATTTCTTGTCTGTTGTCCCCAAAAGCGTATAAGTGTCTTAGAAACAGGGAACATGGTTATATTACTCATTGTTGGATCCCCAGCCACTACCATAGCACTGGGCACAGAGTAGGTGCTTTATAAGTATTTGGATGGGTGGATGATTGGATGGATGGATAGATAGATGGATGGATGGATGGATGGTGGGTGGATGGATGGGTGGGTGGATGGACAGACGGACAGCGGACAAATGAACAAATAGTTACTACTATGTACTATGCATAATGGCAGAAGAAAACTGGTGACTTACATCATGTTTTGTTAGGTCATGTACTATTGCTGCTATTGTTTTAACCTAAGTTACCAACTAAATGTGAAGGAATATACGTATAAAAATTAAAATGGTTCGGCTTCTCTTGATAATTTTGGAAGGTCTGACATTAGTAGGCCTTTGTGTCTATATGGCAGCAATTATTTGGAGCTGAGCTGCCACCTATCAGTGGGGCTCTAAATTTGCCACATTCCCTCCACTCCTGTGTAGGCATTTGAATTTCTACACCCTGTACTAGGAAATCAAAGGTAAATTAAATCTCTTCCAACCCTCAAGAAACCTATTATCTAGATCAGTTACATCTGTGTTGTCACCTCTTACTAGCTTTGTGACTCTGGCTAACCTGTCTAAGTCATCTGGGCTTCAGTGTTCTGTAAAATGGGCATAATAACTTGCTTCACTTGGTAGTTGTAATGCTCTAACAAGATAATGCTTGCGAAGGTCTTATGTAAGTGATTTACTAACTAAAATAACTAATGGATTAGGTATTATTATTATTCAGTGTATTTTAGCCAGAAATCATTTAGTTGCAGGAAACAGAAACTTTTAAACGAGCAAAAAAAAAAAAAAAGTAAGGAGCCAAGGGTAGGGAATACAGCCTTGCCGTGGGAGAGAGGGAAAGCAGGAAGTGTTAAGCTGTCAAAAACCATCTGCTTTCTCCCTCACTCTCTCTGGGGAGATCTGATTGTTTATGTAGATGTTTCATTCTTTTCTTCTCCATGCTTTAGCTTTCTCTGCTTCTCCACACATGGTAGAAGATGGCCACCCAAATCCAAGAATCTGTCTGAATTTCAGATTCTTGGGAGAGAGGATCTGATTGGCCCATTTGGAGTCAAGTGGCTACATTTGACTCAATCAGCTAGAGCGAGAAAGTCAAGGTGTGTAGTACAAACAGGTCTTCCTGTGGTTGGAAGAGGGGGGATAGTTTCCACAGAAGAGGTGTCATGGACTTGGCAGATAGTCCCCCGAGTGTCTACTATAGAACTTTTTGGAGTTTGACCACATTCCATTTAAGTGATCCGATGGTTGTTTGCTTATGCTTTTCCTCACTACCCTCTCCCGAGTTGCCAGGCAATCTAAGCAGTTGGCAGCCCCAGTCTAAGAACTGGGTGAAATGTTTTCTAGGAGCACACCGATGGGATTTAGCCACCTCGGAGGGTCTCTTGCCCCGGTACGAGCATGCCAGCTTCATTCCCTCTTGCACACCTCACAGCATCTGGGTGTTTGGTGGTGCCGACCAGTCAGGAAACCGAAATTGCCTGCAGGTTCTGAATCTTGGTAAGTAGCCAAAGGTTATTTTATTTACATACATACACTCATACATAAATCCAATTCCAATTTCATTACTTGTGCCAAGAACCCATTTGGACCGTACTGAATTATCTGTTTAACTTTGCTGACTTCGTAGAAAACAGGAATTTTAAATTCTAGCAGAATCTTAAGATAACAGAATTACATTTTGTTTTTCTGATAATATATACAATTATCAGCTTCTTAAAAGCTGAATCTGGAAGAGACTTAGAGAGTAGCTATGCCAAATGGGTGACCGAGGTCCAGGAGAAGTGACTTTCCTAAAGTCACCAGGGAGTCAGTGACTGACCTGGGCTAGAACCCAAGTCACCTAGCTCATATGGCGATGATCATGCCTCCCAGTGGACATTTGACCAAGTCCAGAAACATTTTTGGTTTTCACAACTCAGAGCAATGAGGGAGCAGTTTGCTACTGGCATCTAGTGGATAGAGGCCGGAGATGCTGCTGTATATCACATAATGCACAGGAAAGTGCCCACAAGAACAAATTATCTAGTCTACAATGTCAGTAGTGCTAAAGGTAAGAAACTCTGACTTAGATCCTCCTAGTATATTTTTTTAGCCAAAAAGTTCAAAGTCTCTGACCAGTCTTATTGGCAGTTTTATCACACAGGAGGCAGTTTAGGGGCATCACTACTGAGAGGATGTTGCTGAATCACCAATGGGAGGTGGACTTGTCTTTTCTCTTTATAAACATAATTTATATTCATTGTAAAATATTCGAAGAGTCTAAGTGGACAAAAGCCATCCACAATCCTATGACATTAAGGCTGTTTACATTTCTGTGTACTTCCTTTCTGTCTTTTCTCTGCATTTTTATAAGCCTGAGATCATACTATTTCACCACTATGCCATTGTACCTTTTTCATTTTAATTTCACAGTTACTGCATAAATGATGGCCTGGTAACAACAGTGCTTTGTTAACATCATTTTTAAAGGCTGCATAATATTCCATTTCTGACAATACCACAAATCACTTGTTTTTTTAACATTTTAACATTTAGGTTGTTTTTAGATTCTTCTCAGTATAAATAACAAAGCAGCGAACCTCTTCGTTTAGAAGTTATTGACTGTATTTCAAATTATTGTCTTAGAATTCATGCTCAGAAATAAAAGGACTAGTTAAAATACTGTCAACTTTAAGATTTTTGATACATGCTACCAAATTACTCTTCAGAAAGATTTTTTCAACTTATCCTCTCTCTGTGTTTCATAGTACTTGTTTCACTCCTGACCAGCATGGAATTGATCATTTTTAAATATTGCTTATTTGATAGGCAAATCTGGTAGGCATATCTAATTGTGTAAATATGCATTTTGTTGATTACTAGAACTTGGACATTTTTCACATGTCATTAGCTCTTGCCCAGTTCCTTCTATTAACAATAGATTTATTTGCACAACAGTTGGTCTTCTTTGTCACTTTGGGATAGTCATAGTTCCGACCTTGTTAAATTTGACAGGGATTTAAATTAACTCAATATCTGGTGCATAGTTAATGCTCAGTAATGGTGGTTGTGGTTGACATAGCTACAGTTTGGCAGATTGAAATCCATCTGGAACGTTGGCCTTTTGATTTTCACTGATGGCATTTATTTAAATAAAATAAAGTGAAAATTTGGAAAGCCGCTATCAAAGGAATTGATTTTCCACTGGATCCTTTTTCTCTCCTAGAAAGTATAATTTGACACAGTGCCCAGGAAATATGAAAAATGTAAGTGAACTATAGGTTGCTTTTGTTACTAAGGCAAGTCCATCAAATGGCTAAGTAATCCTTTGTGATTATTTGCGCTGGCATTTGACTTGGCAGCAACACAATCCCAGGATCCTGTGATCCCGGAGGCCGTGTACCTTCTAGCTCCCCCGAAGATCCAAAAAGCTCCCCAAGGTCTGTAGCTACAGAGACAATTTTATTTTGCTTTGGATAGAGGCTGAGACTTGTTTGGTTTCTAGGTTCATATTTGAGTTCCACACATATTACAAATGCTTCATGGGACATTTAATGAAGACGTTAATATATTTAATGAAGACGTTTCCAAAAGGCACAGAATTTGCCCGGCAAGAAATAATTCTTGGTGTGTTGTGATGGAGCGAGTGTGGCAGCCTTGGCAGATCTGAGTTCAACGCCTGCTCCGCTACTCACAAGCGCTGTGACCTGAGGAAAGCATTTAAATTTTCTGAGCTTCAGTTCCCTCATCTGCAAAGTGGGGATACTTTCTACCCACCTCCTGAGGTCGAGTGAGGATAGTGGGAAGAACAGAGTGCTCAGGGCTATGATTCTGCACAAGGAAGGTTCTTAATTAATGCATCCATTTCTATAAAATTCATGCTTCATTCTAAAATAAATAATAAATAAATAAATAAGCTACTCTACACCTACCCAGGTGGTGAAATTTTATTCCTAAGTCAGAAGAGTGGAAACTACATAGATTTTGGTGTTCGAAAGAATTTGAACCCCAACTCGGCCTTTTATTAGCCACCCTAAATAAGTGACTATATCTATCTCTGCTTAATTCTCTTATCTGTAAAAGGGGAAACTAATATTTATATGGCATTTTCTTTTTAGTAGAGACTAATTGCTACTACTGAAACTGTAATAACATTGTCTACTTTAAGAGCCATATATCCAGGGAAATTTGGCACATTTGGTTTCTATCATCTAGTAGGAGTGACATTTAGCAAATGTTAGGCTCCTCTGAATAGCACAGGGCAGGAGTCGGCAAAGTGGAAGACGGTTCAGAGAGGATGTTTGAAGCCCTCCAAAAACAAATTGACCTCATTCTTAATTGCACTTGTGGCTTTTCAGTCTTGGGAGTTTGGGTATATCTGGGCAAATTCTAAGGATTGCCCCTACCCATCCTTGACTTTGGTGGCCTAAGATCACTGCCTTGACCTACACTGTCCCCTTTAGGGACTGGGGTTTGGAAGGTGATCCTGCCCAGCCTCAGAGTCAAGGTCAGAGGCCCCTCAGCGTAGGTGTTTTAGGTGCCTCCCTTCTGTCTGGACCAGAAACCAGGACTTGGACCACGCCAGAGGTGACCACCCCATCACCAGCCCCAAGAACATTCCACACATCATCAGCAGCCATTGGAAACCAACTGTATGTCTTTGGGGGCGGAGAGAGAGGCGCCCAGCCCGTCCAGGATGTGAAGCTTCATGTGTTTGACGCAAGTATGGATTAGTGGCACCTTGGGGCTGCCATTTACCTGGTCAGGGCCACCCCAGCCCACAGCTTACCTGATATAGGAGGCAGAGGTTAGAAAATGATACCCTGGCTGAATGTCTCTGTGCTAGACTTCCTTAGTGTATCCCTCAGCTGATATCTTCTTCCCACGGCAAAATTTGCATTTAAAAAGGTGTAAATGATCAAAACCATTTGAACAGTATAGTTTATAAAGTAAAAAAGTAAAGGTTTCCCCTTTAGCCTTTCTTTCCTGCTCCCCAGATAGAACTGTTGGCAGTTCCTAATGTCTCCTTCCAGACTTTCCTATGCATTTTTAAATCATGTACATGTATATGAACATGTATGAACATGTATGAACTTTGAAACTTAGAATACACACATGGAATCAAATTAGAAATACTGTCCTGCGGCTTTTTTTAATAGGGGTAAGGGCAGATCATAATAGTTGAAAGCATGAACCACACGATCTGCACTCAAGACCAGGTCTGACATATTACTTCTGTATTACTTTAGACTAGTTACTTAATCTCTCTAAGCCTTAGTTTGCTGATCTGTAAAATAAACATATTAATAGTGCCTACCACAAAGAGTTGGAAAGATTCTATGAGATAGTGTGATATAGTGCATAGCACAGTACCTGGCACATAGGAAGCACCTAATGAATATTAACATTATTATTATTGTTACTATTACTATAATTATTCCTTCATTTAATCACACATCATGGATGTCTTCTTAGTCAGCACCAATTTCCTTGCAAAGCCTATCCTTTTATAGGTATTCTTTATTCACTCAGTCATTTTCCAATTGATTGACTTTTTGCTGACAGCATTACAGTGGCCATATATATTAAGTTTTGTACATGTTACATGTTACTATGGAATAGATGCTGAGAAATGAAATTACTGGGTCAAAATGGTATGAACATTTAAAATTCTGAGACCTCTTGCCAAATTGTTGTCTGAGGAGTACTTATTTACATTTCTTCCTTTAGTGGTGGGTATTTATGAATAACACTTTACAGACAACATGAGACAAATAATTTTTACGTGTGTTTTTCAAGAAAGATGTAACCTTTTTTGAAATGCAATAAGCAAGATTTCAAACTTAAAAGTATAATTGGAAGAATTAAGACACATCACAGTATGACTTTTCTTTTTCCAGAAAGAATGGGCTTTGTGATTCTTTTAAAGCCCTTTTAAAATTTTTAAATAATGGTGTTTTCGAATATATGAAACTAAGGAAAGGAGAAAAAATAATGTATGTGTGTGGTGTCTGTGTATATAAAATACTATGACTCCAAAATGATTAAAATCTCAATACATTTCCAGTCTTTTTATTTTAAGTAGCAGAGATAATTTTATATGAAATACTTGTATCCTGTATTTTTCACTTAAGCATTTTTCCTATAATCACTAAGTCTTCAACATTCTAAGAAATTCATAATATTCTGTCATGACTGTGGCAGTAACAACCATTCACCTGTTGGACTTAGATAATTTACAGTTTTCTCTATTACAGTGCTGTGATAGGCATATTTATACATAAACCATTTTAGATTATTTCAAATTGTATTCCTTGGAACTCTAGGGGTTGCTTGTACAACCTGCAAGCATTGCCACAAACAGTAATTCAAAGTTAAGTTGTTTGGAAGGCCTGTGTCTCAAATAGTTTTTGCAGCATTCCTTTAAGGCTTTTCTGGCATGTTGAAATGATTCCTGTTTCCAAATTCTGTATGTGTACAATTTTGACGATATGAAGGGCTGCCAACAGGCAGAACACGTCTGCACTATTAGGATAATAACCATATTGATAATTCTCATGTGTCAAGTACTTTCTCCGTGCCTGTCTTTTATGTATGTTGTCTCCTTTAATCCATACTTCAACCCTGAGAGGTAGGTATTGTCAGGTATTGTCTTTATTCCCGTTTTACACCTGTAGAAACTGAAGCTTAGAGAATTAATTGATGCAAGGCCACACAGTTATTCAGGGAAATAACCTAGTTTTAACTCCAAATCTCATGCTCTAACTATTACCCTGTACTGCCACTTCAGCAGGCTCTGCTAATGTTAAAAGTAGTCTATCTTTTCCCCCTATGCTTCCAGCAAATCAGTTAAGGATATTACCTTGAAAAAATAAGGCTCTGAAGGCCTGCCATTGAAGAAGCAGTGTTCTTTTGAACTCTGAAGCAGAAGTTTTAGGGAGGTCTTTTTTAATTCAAAGCAAGGAATGGTTTCCTAATGCCCAGTAGAAGGGCAGGCATGTCAGTCAATTCTCAAACCTTGGAAATGTCCAAGCAGAGGCCAGACAGGCTGTAGAGAAAGGGAAGCCTGGATTAGGTTGGCGAGTTGGAGTGAATGACTCCAAGGTCACTTTCTGCTTGGAGTGTCTCTCCTTGCTGGTACGTGAAGCTTGGACATATTTTTTAGGTTTTTGCTTCATAGCTTTATCATTTGATGTCAATGAATTTACTTTTATAGACACTCTGACCTGGTCACAGCCAGAGACACTTGGGAAACCTCCATCGCCCCGGCATGGTCATGTGATGGTGGCAGTAGAGACAAAGCTCTTCATCCACGGAGGCTTGGCAGGGGACAAATTCTATGATGATCTATATTGCATTGATATAAGTAAGTAGGGCAGAAGGCATGGGGGTTTTGTCTCCTCAAAATTAAATTAAATGTGCTTTGATAAAATATAGCCTAGTTCTTAGGTGTGGGTAACTTGACCAGCTAGCAGACTATTCACTTGATTCTGTCAATAATAATATAAGCCATCATTTCCTGAGCATTTTATATGTACCTAGCCATTAATTATCTCTTCTCCTTCCAACAACCCTGCTCTTTCATTAAAATTCATTATACTTTGTGTTCCCCAAGTGGATTTCTTTCAGGCATTAGCCATTAATTCCATGCCTATGAGAGGCACGGACAATTCTAGAGTGGGTCTGAAGGTGAGTGACTGGAAATATCATGCTAAAATAGTTAAAGACACTGGGAAGAGGAAAGTTAGGAAGAACATGAGAATTGTCTTTAAGTGTTTGAAGGGCAGATGTGCCCTAGAGAGCCTGGACTCATTCTGGGCCATTCTTTCAGACCATGAGCTCCCTTAGGACAGGGACTTTGTCTCTTTTGTTCCCCAGGGTATTTCCAGCACTTAGCACAGTGTCTGGCAGATCAGGTGATGAGTGCATATCTGTTAACGGGTGGATAGATGAACAAATAAACATGTTCTAGGTTGGTCAGGAATACAGGAATTGAAACAGTGGGCGGAAGGCATGAGAACTGCCGTGCAGTGTATCTGGCTACCCTGCCGAATAATGGGTTCTCTGGCTGAGTGACATCTGATGCCAGGTGACCCTGGCTGGGATTCCTGCTCTAGCTAGAATTTTGGCCATATTGGGTGATTCTTCCTTCCAGCTCTGGACCCCTGCCTTGAATTGACAGATGGAAAATATCATCACAGAAGCATTTCTTGCAGGCACTCAAAAGGGGTTTCGATATTTATTTTTAAAAAGAAAGTCCTTTTGTCTTGTGCTGAGGAACTACTTCTTCTTTTTCTGTTCCTATCCAGGTAGTTCTCTAAACCTAAAATCCAGGATGTGACATCCTGCCTCATTTAAATGCTTGTTTGAAAAGATACAGATATCCCTGCAGAAATGGGTTGGGGATAGGTGCTGAGGCAGCGAATTACACTATAGAGAACACAGGTTTTGGAGTCGGACCTAACTACAATTCTTGCTCTGCCATTTGCTAGCTGTGGGATTTCGGCCAAGTCTTTCCCTCTCTGATCCTGTTTCCTTATCTGTAAGAAGGCAGGAGCAATAGCAATTCCATAGAGCTGTTGGAAGAATTCAGCAAGATATTTAAAGTGTCTAGACAGCAATCAAAGTTGTCACACACACACACTTGGAACCTCACCTACTTCTGGAATCCAAAATAGTTAACGGTGACGGTCATTTTTCTGTGTTCTGAAGACCACCTACATCAGAATCACCCGAGATGCTTGTTAAAACTATAGATTACTCCCTCCCTGGACAACCCAGACAGCATTTCAAGATCTCCCAAATAATTTTTATGTACATTAAACCTTGCTATATTATCTCAGGGCTCCTACTCAATGACATTTAGGTTTGTAAACTGACAGTTAAGTTTGAAACCACGTTCCAGGATTGTTGTGCCCAAATTCTTTCTCTTGGCAGGTGACATGAAGTGGCAGAAGCTAAGTCCCAGTGGGACAGCTCCCACAGGCTGTGCTGCCCATTCAGCTGTGGCTGTGGGAAAACACCTGTATGTCTTCGGTGGTATGACTCCCACAGGAGCACTGGATACAATGTACCAATATCACATAGGTGAGCAGGTGTTCCCTATGGGTGTTTAAGCAAATGTGACCGTTTTTTGGAAAGTACCAGTGCTTTGGTTTTTCAATTTGATCCCTCCACATCTAAAGTCAAAAGAATGAAAATCAGACTTTTAGGGAATTACATCACCATTAGTTTTTTTCCTCCTTTTATTTCCTATTTGTTAGGGCTCAAGAGATGCAGCAAATCACTGAACGTATCTGAAAATTTCTTAACACTGAGCCTTTTTTTTTCTCCCTAATATAGAAAAGCAGCATTGGACCTTACTTAAATTTGATACGTTTCTACCCGCTGGACGATTGGACCATTCCATGTGTATCATTCCATGGCCAGTGATATGTACCTCAGAGAAAGAAAATTCAAATTCTGTTGATCTAAACTGTGATACTGAGAAAGGGGATTCCAGTGACAAAGGAGTGACCCAAGGCGGTGACTCGCATGAGGAGAGTCAGACTGTCTCACTGCTCTGTTTTGTGTTTGGTGGGATGAATACAGAAGGGGAAATCTATAATGATTGTATTGTGACTGTAGTTGACTAATAAAACCCACATTTTTATTACTTTTAAATGTCAGTTACTTTCAGAAAAGTTAAATACGTCTTAGCTTTTATACCTCCAAAGTATTTTCTGCGCTACATATCCCTTTTGCTGTCCTCTACTTTGGTAGGTGAAGAGATGAACCTGGATAGCCCAGTGCAAAAACCTCTATTACATAAAGGATTTTGCCAGCGATACAAGTTCAGTGACATTGGTTGTTACTAATCACAAAAACGTTGAAGAATCGTAATTGCTAGATACAACATAAGCTGTAGAAATTGGGGAGTGGACATTTACAGATGGAAATGTCTTTAATATTCAGTAGCTGCTCCTCATAAAGAGGTACAGACTGTTGGCATTTGGTAGTGACAGCCATTGGGGACAGGGAAGACTGGCCCTTGTCTTGCCCAACTATCCCCTAACCCCCACTGCACAGGGCACTGCAGGCGACTGTCTTTGATCCACAATTGCAATGGGGCTTAACGTAGTTTCAAGGTCACCATTCTAGATGCCACTCCAATACCACTAATGAGAAATTTCAGAGATGGGGATTCAGACATAGCTAAGTTTCAAAATAGACCTTTATATCCTAAAATTATGAATTGCTCCAAGTATGTAAAGTTAACATTAGTGATCCATCTATCAAGCCTTAGATTCCAAAGCAGGTATAAAGCATCATTAGTAATAAAAAGCCACCAAAAAAAGTTTTAGAAAGGAGAAATAGAAAATTTCAAACATGTTCATGAAAACTCTACTCTTGCACATTGTGAAATGGCCCACCTCCCACCTCTTTTCTTTAAAGTTAGGCAAGTTCCCTGAAAGTATTGAATAAAAATGTTTCCTTACCTTAAAAGCCCAACCTCCCCACCGTGAGAATCTAAACTCAAAATGGTTGACCTACTTAGAAAGGTTATCACAAAAATTAGACCAGTGTAAATAACAAACATTTATTGATGTCACTTACGGTAGAAAATAAAGTTCCTACACCAGATGCACATGACCCAAATGTTAAATAGAACATTTTTCCATGGTGAACACATGCCGTAACCCAACCTTTTTACCCACTTTTTAAGATAGCCAATTCTTCCTGTCCCCCCACCCCAGGACATGTGAGCAACTGCTAACGAAAAGCAGTAAACAGCCACTTGGGCTATAGCATTTTCAACTCCACTCCAAGGTGAAGATTCCAATTACATTCGAGACTTAAGTTCTCTCAATTTTCTCCTAACGAAAGTTCCTGAGTCCAGTATTTACAACATCATAGCACTAGCAGAGCAGTGTCTACAACTCATCTTTGTCTACTGGTTCCTCATCTCCAGTTGGGGGAGGGCCTGCACTTCCATAGAGTTTGCTGATAATTGGCTGAACAATTTCTTCTAGTTCCTTCTTTTTAGCTTTGAAATCTTCAATGTCAGCATCTTGGTGACTTTCCAGCCATTCAATCTTTTCCTCTACGGCTTTTTCCATGGTCTCCTTATCTTCAGAGGAAAGTTTGCCCCCCAGCTTTTCTTTATCTCCAATCTGATTCTTTAGAGAATAGGCATAACTTTCTAATTCATTTCTAGTATCAATGCGCTCCTTGAGCTTTTTATCTTCCTCTGCAAACTTTTCAGCATCATTAACCATCCTTTCAATCTCTTCGGGTGTCAGGCGATTTTGGTCATTGGTAATTGTGATCTTATTTTTGTTGCCTGTACCTTTGTCTTCAGCTGTCACTCGAAGAATGCCATTCACATCTATCTCAAAAGTGACTTCAATCTGTGGGACTCCACGGGGAGCAGGAGGGATTCCAGTCAGATCAAAAGTTCCCAGAAGATGATTGTCTTTTGTCAGGGGTCGTTCACCTGCAAGTTACACATAAATATCTTTGTTAGTTGTTAGTGACAAACATTAGTACATCTGGAACCCTACATTTCCGTCTGTTAGAGCCTACAGTGGCAAGGGCACTCTATCAAGCTAGAAGTGGATCATTGGTCTTTAAGGAGCAACGAATGGGACCAACAGTGAGTTAACTACCAACTCTTAAAGGTGAATTCCATCTACATCATCATGAACCTGTTTTTTGTTCTTGTATTCTAGAGCCAGCTCAAAAAAATATTTTTTTAAAATTATTTCTAATGGGAAAGAATGCTAGATAAAAACTAGATTTTAGTGCTCTTACCAAACTCAACACTAGTTAAATTAGGGACCTCCCCATCTGAAAACAGCAGATATTTCTTTCCTTAGTCTTTTCAATAGAGTATATTAAGAAGTTATGCTATTCAAAAACATTCCATGGTATTAAAATAAGCAATCACCTTCATAAACTTTGATTGTAACAGTTGGTTGATTATCGGAAGCTGTAGAAAAGATCTGTGACTTCTTGGTGGGCACCACAGTGTTCCTGGGAATCAGTTTGGTCATGACACCTCCCACAGTTTCAATACCAAGTGTAAGCGGACATACGTCAAGCAGTACCAGATCACCTGCGAAAGTAATATAGAATTAAGTTCTAATTAAAGTCATAGGAACACTACCAATCTCCCCATGAACAGTACTTTACCTTCTTCACCTTGCTATCTGGTCAGGTTCTATGCAAAAGCATTTTAGAAGCAATGAACTAAATATAAATATAGTTGCTAAGGATCTTGAAACTGTACCAGGCCTTGTCCTCACTGTACCTTTTATTAGCTGCGTGACTTTATAATGCTCATATTCTACTGCTTTCTAAAGCAACACTAATTATACTCTGCCCATCAAGCTGCTGAAGCACTGTGGAACATGCTTGTAACAATGACCTACCTGTATCTTGATCACCAGACAGTACACCAGCCTGGACAGCAGCACCATATGCCACAGCCTCATCTGGGTTTATGCCACGGGATGGCTCCTTGCCATTGAAGAACTCTTTAACCAGTTGTTGGATCTTTGGGATTCGAGTAGAGCCACCAACAAGAACAATTTCATCAATATCAGATTTCTTCAAATCAGAATCTTCCAGCACTTTCTGGACAGGCTTCATGGTAGAACGGAACAGGTCCTAGAGCAAGAGACATAATTACTGTGATGATGCCTGTTTACCCAGATATTGTCTAGATATCTAATGCATTGTCCTAAACTCAGAGTCTAATTAGATCTCATTAGTGAAACAAAAAACAAGGAACATACCATGTTTAGTTCTTCAAATTTGGCTCGAGTCAAGGTCTCAGAGAAGTCTTCTCCTTCAAAGAAGGACTCAATTTCAATTCTTGCTTGATGTTGAGAAGACAGGGCCCGTTTGGCCTTTTCTACCTCCCGCCGGAGTTTCTGCACAGCTCTGTTGTCTTTCCTAACATCTTTGCCAGTCTTCTTTTTGTAGAGCTTGATGAAGTGTTCCATGACACGCTGGTCAAAGTCTTCTCCACCCAGATGGGTATCTCCATTAGTAGCCACAACTTCGAAGACACCATTATCAATGGTGAGAAGAGACACATCGAAGGTTCCACCACCCAGGTCGAACACCAAGATGTTCTTCTCCCCTTCTCTCTTATCTAGGCCATAAGCAATAGCAGCTGCTGTACTGTTAAGAGAATAAGGGGGGAAAAAGTTAAGTTTACATTTTCCCTATTTAGCAAACACGCCTTATCTGTGAATTTAACACTTACGGCTCATTGATGATTCTCATAACATTCAATCCAGCAATAGTTCCAGCATCTTTGGTTGCCTGGCGTTGGGCATCATTGAAATAGGCCGGTACAGTAACAACTGCATGAGTAACCTAAAAAGATAAAAGGTAATTAAGCATATTTTATCATGTGGTGTAACCCTATTTAAGTTACAGTCAAACCATCACTTTCCTTTCTAAGCCAATTTATTTGTAAAATGGGCATAAAATATACATTTTTATACCCAGAGATTTATAAGCATCAAGTGAAGAGTTCCTATTATTTTCTTTGGCCTAAAGCACACAAGTAATTATAACTGATATGGATGTAATTCAGATTCAAATCATCAAACTGATGAAAGCGTCTATACAACACAATCAAATATAGTAGTAATAACATTGTTCTAGGAATACTTACCTTCTTTCCCAAATAAGCCTCAGCAGTTTCCTTCATTTTAGTGAGAACCATGGCGGAAATTTCCTCAGGAGCAAATGTCTTTGTTTGGCCACCTCCAATATCAACTTGAATGTATGGTTTAGTTTTCTTTTCAACCACCTATTTTAAAGAATGATTATTATATGCAGGCACAGAAGCAATAACATTTCAAACTTTAAGAAGACTGTCTGAGAGTCACTTCCTTCCCCATAGTTTGGTTTACTTTGATCCCTTGGAGCTCAATATTGACTAAAAATACTTCTCTTAATCCTAAACTGTGGATGGAGTAGCTGTGTGTGAAGTTTCCTTGTCTACCAACTTTAATAAGTTTTGTAACATACCAAAATTATTAAATACAAATTAATACATATGCCATGTATCCTTTTCTGTTGTCTTAACACCGTTTCTCAACCTCTCAATCTTAAATACTCCCACCGCCACCACCCATTTTCTATCCGGTGAAAAAACCCAGTCGAACCTTGAAAGGCAAAAACTTGATGTCCTGCTGCACAGACGGGTCGTTCCAAGTACGGCCAATGAGCCGCTTGGCGTCGAAGACCGTATTCTCAGGGTTGGACGTGAGCTGGTTCTTGGCTGCATCCCCGATGAGACGCTCCCCTTCGGGAGTGAAGGCCACATAAGACGGCGTGATGCGGTTGCCCTGATCGTTGGCGATGATCTCCACGCGGCCATTCTTGAACACCCCGACGCTGGCGGAAAAACCGAACCGAAGGAATCAGCACCACGATCATCACCGCAGCCCAGGAGGCCACGCCCCATTCCCCCTTTCCACAAACCCCACTTACCAGGAGTAGGTGGTCCCCAGGTCGATGCCGACCACCGTGCCCACGTCCTCTTTCTTGTCCTCCTCCTCGGCCCGCGCCGCGCCGAGCAGCAGCAGCACCGCAGCCACCAGGGAGAGCTTCATCTTGCCGGAGCTGTCGGCCAGTCAGTCAGCAGGCAGGTAGATAGGACGTCGCAAGCAATCCAGCCACAGGCCGAAGGACGGGAACGCACCGAGATTACTGACCTGAGGGAGACAGGGCCAGCGGTCAGGAGGCGCAGCGGACAAAACGAAGGGCAGATCCGAAAGACAGGCCGCAGCGCTTACAGTTCTCACTCACGAAATCCTGAATTCAGTAGGTCTCTGATGTCTGGGCCAGCGTCAACCGCGCTGTCCCCGACTCCGTTTATATACCCTCCCCCCAGCCCCGTCGTGGAGGCCTCCGATTGGCCAAAGCTCTGCTAGTTGGAGGCCACTGATTGGTCCAGACGACCAAGCTGGCCGCCGCGGATTCGAAGCGGTCTCCTCCGCAACTAACGTCACTGCTACGCCCCCTGGATGGGCTCATTGGCTGCTGGTTGGGCCCAACAACCACCAATGGGAGGCAAGAAACGGCCCATGAGCTGACTC